GAAGTCCTGTAAATATGTGCCCAAGTGCACATTGGTTTTATGCACTTTAGGGAGACACAGAAATTACAGGCAAAGACATAAATCAATACATATCAGATATACATTAGTTTGTCCTGGAAAGGTCGGAAAGCTTCAAGCAGGGGCTTCCAGGTCATAGGTGGAGTCAAAGCTTTCCTGACTGGCTACTGGTTGAAAGAGTTAAGCTCTGTCTAAAGAGTTGAATTCATCATAAAGAAATGCTTGAGTCTAGAAAATGGGGTGTGGAAGCAAAGGTTCTTGTCATGTAGATGAATCCTATGGGTAGCAAATAAAGTAGATGGTGAATGTTGCTTATCAGACCTTTATAAAATGTCAGACTCTTTAAAAAAGACTTAGTAACGGGAGGAGATTCTCTATAGAATGCAAATTTTCCCCACAATAGGCAGCTTTGCAGGGCCACTTCCGAATAGGTCAAAGAAATACTTTTGGGGTAAAATATTTAGATTTTCTTCAGGGCCTATTATCTGTCATATTGGAGTATGGTATCTTATTGCTACAAAGTATCTGTTTTATCAGTCCAAAGATCTCAGCTGTAGTGATAATGCTGGTCAGTTTTGTCTGAACCCCAAAGGGTGGCGAGCATAATGAGGCACATCTAAATCCAACTGCCAGTCATGTCCTAACCTAGTTTTTCAGATTTCTTTGAAGTTCTCTCTGCCAAGAGAGGAGTCCATTCAGCTGGTTGGTGGCTTACAACTTAACTTTTGGTTTTAATACCCAGAAAAAAAAAATCATTGCATAAATTCAATCTAGAATAGATTGGTAAAGACAAATTGTTTCCTGAATATTCGTACATGTCAAAGATAAAGAAATGATAAGACTTGAGATGATTAATACCCCTCATACAAAAGAATAACAATTTTTTTTTTTTTTTTTACTATCTTAGTTTCAGTCCACCAGCAATGATGATTCCCATTTAAGCAGCAAATTTACACTGGAAGGAAAGGAGGAAAGTGAGGAAGGGAACAGAAGATGAATGGTAAAAGACACATCAACAACCCACCTGACTCAGGAGAACCGAAGATCAACCACACGTGGAAACATGGACTAAATTCCTCTGGGCTGTTCCACCTGAGAGATGAGGAAGCTGAGGTATGTATACACCTCATCCTGTCCTCACTGATTGTCAGGTGTCTCCCTTGTTCTATTTCAAGCTGCTATGACAGATTCCTTGTCACTGTACAATTCATAAAGAACAGAAATTTATTTTCTCACATTTCTGGAGAATGAGAAATTTAAGATCAAGGCATGGGCAGGTTAAGGTCTGCTTTCTCCATTTTCAAGATGAGTCCAGGAGTTTTGGGTCCTTCAAAGGAAGGAAGGCCATAGTTTATCATGACAGAGGAACAGAAGAGAGAGAGAGAGAGAGAGAGAGAGAGAGACAGAGAGATCCCAGCCTTTTAATCCCTTTTTATAGTGATATTAATGTATTCCACTAGAGGGCTCCACCCTGACGACCTAAACACATCCCAATAGGCCCCACATGGCAATACCATTATACTGAGAATTAACTTTACAACAGATGGATTCTGGAGGACAGTGTCAAATCATAGCACTTTCTAAGTGATATACATTCCAGGCCGTTTGGCCAGCAATGCATGCAGGCAGAGTTCTCTGCCCAAGACCGTAAAGAACATAAGACATGTATACTGCCATTCTAAGTGAGCAGAGGTACAGCAAAGTGGAAAGCCCTAGACTACAGATGGGGACTGCTACATTCATCCTGGCCCAGTTAACCCTTGAATAAATTGGGTTTGAAATTTGCAGATCCACTTATATTTTCTTCTGTGTGTGTCACCTGTGAGCAAGCAATTAATAAGTTGCAAATATATTTTCTCATTTTTATAGTTTTGTTAGTAACATTTTTTTCTTTAGCATGCTTTATTGGAATAATAGAGTATATCATATAAATAACTTAAACACAGTGTTAATCAACTATTTATTTTATCACTAAGGCTGGCAGTCAAAAGTAAGCTATTAGTACTTAAGTTAGAAATGCAAAAGTTCTACACAGGTTTTCAACTGCACCAGTGCTCAGTGCCCCAACCTCCACAGTGTTCAGGGGTCAACAGCTCTTTCAGTCTGTAGCTGCATCTCTCTGGAACTGCATCTTGGCAGGTGGGTTGTAAGTAAATGAATCCAGTAAATAACATCTCAAACTATGCTGCATTTGTATGATGATATGTAAAACCCAC